TACTAACTCTCCTGTCTTTCTGTGGCATGCAAGATAATGACTAAAGCCAGGACTTCAAATTTTAGAAAGCGCCAGAAGCATAAGGAAGTAATAGCATCTTTTCTCATTATTTTAGTCTCAGTCTCTACAAATACAGATTAATTACATGGACTATGTAGGATTATTATGAGGATAAAAATTTTATAATGTGAATCAAAGTAGCTAGTCTACATATTTCCCTTTGCATGTGTGTGTGTGTGCTTGCTTTTCTGTCATTGCTGAAGTGATCAAGTGTCCTCTTAACTTTCTGTGCTCCTTGCTGTGTAGTAGATGCTGTGGAGAGCAACTCAGATCCCACTCTCTGGTGAGCCATTGATTGTTTCAGCTTCCAGAAGTGGTTAGATGCAGATGGCTCACAGCCTAGTCCTTCTTTGGAAATTGTCATGGAACAGAGGTGCTGCCTTACCCTCTTCCCTTAATTTGGGTCTATGCCAAAGTGTCATACTATTACTAGGGACACTGTAGGATCAACCAAGACCTCTGTTGTAATTATAGCACTTCAACATCCCCCTCTGCCCAATCATCTGGAATCCCTCACTTTTGATAGATGTTAGGTATTGTTTCTGAGAACACTGCTCATTAAATCTCCTACACACAGATTTCTCTTTCATAATAATCCCATGACTAATGTAAATTAACATACAAAATTCCAACCTGTCTTCAGCTCTGATTTTTTTCCTTAAGACATGTTAATAAATACCTACAATTCAGTTTCACTTTTCTGTCCTGCAAGAATCTCAAAACTAAGTGACCCCAAACTAAATGCTATATCTTCCCTACCCCATAAATTTTATCTTCTTTCTGCATATTTTAAGAGTATCAATATCCATTCAGTCTTCTAAGTCAAAATATTTTGTATGGATTGTATCCTCTCTAAAAGATACATTAAAATTCTAATTCTGCTACCTTTGAATGTGATCTTATTTGGAAATAGGGTCTTTGCATATATAATCAAGTGAAGTTGAGGTCATTAGTGTGGGTTCTAATCCAATATAACTGGTGTCTATAAGAAGAGGAGAAGATAGAGACACTGAGGGGAAATAACACATCTAGAGGGGGACAGAAATTGTGGTGATGCAGCTGAAAGCTGAAAGGATTGTCAGAAACCACCAGAAACCAGGAAGCTCAAAGAAATCAGAAGATTCTTCCCTGGAATCTTGGGAAAGAGTGTGGCCCCGGTGAACCATTGATTTCAGACTTTCATCCACCAAAACTTCCAGACAAAAATGCCTGTTGTTTTAGTCATCAAGTTTGTTTCCTAAGCACTAAGACACTAATACATTGTTCAAACAGTTCATGACCTTATATCCAGTCCCTGGGCTCTTACATTTTAACTTATAAGTTAAGATAGATTTGTATTGCAGCTAAGTGAGAGCAGGACATTTTCCCTTTGGAAATCAACACAGTGCTTGGAGCATAGCAAGTTGCAATAAATATTTATTGAATGAATGGATACATTTCATGCTTCACTTGAGGTCCATAATGAGGAAACATTCCATTGCCAGTGGTAAGATCTGCTCAGTGTGTTAATATTTGCGTTTTGCCTTAAGGGCTGCCCTGCTCCTCAGTAGGAGGCTGACTGAGAGAAGCTGTCAATTCAGTGCTGACATTCTGAGAAGCAGCGACAGGAGACTTAGTCTCATGGATATACTCCAGATGACCATATGCCTTCTTGATTCAAAGAGACTGTTCTGATAAATGTGGATGTTCTGCTGCCACCTGTTTTTTCAGAAATGTTTAAATGAACCTTTCAATTGAACTCATTTCTTGGAAAGATGTTTTACTATTAAATATTCTGACTTGATTCTGGAGTGTACATTTAACTACGTACCTGCCATGAAAATCTGCCTTCTTGAGAGTTAGTGTTAAAGGTAGACTGAAATATCTCTACAATGTATACTGGGAAATGGGGTACTAGGTCATACAGACAGGGGATTTTAGGGAGAAAGAGGGAGAGGTGTCAAATGCCATTGATGTTCTTTCCCTTTGTTGAAAATACAGGTCTTTAAAGAGTCAAATGCAAAAAACATAACAGCACCTGAATAATCAAAAGGATATATCAGGAACATGAACCCAAGTCAGGGAAGAAGGTAGGTTCACTTCCCACGACAACTCCATCCATCACAGTAGTCACTAGGAACACTCTTGATAAGGATTCAGAGGTTGCATTCAGATTTAGGCAGACTTCAGAGACTATGTCTAGAAGAGGCCTTTGTAACAAGCTCCCCAAATGTCTTCCACACACTAATTTGTGAACCACTGCCCGACATCATGTTACCTCTTTTAAATTCTTTTCATATCAAATAGCTCTTGACTGTGTGTGTGTGTGTGTGTGTGTGTGTGTGATGATCCAATTCTATACTTACAACAATTGTTCGTTGAACACTTACTTTTTGACAGACATTGTCTACTAGTCTTGTAATCTTCATTGCATTTCTATTTTACATGTAAGTAAACTGAAAAAAAGCAGTTTTTTTTCCCTCTCTCTCTCTTTGTGTGTGTATGTGTGTGTGTGTGTGTGTGTGTGCATTTTTTTTTTTTTTTACTGTCTTAATGAAATACTCCAGATAATGGAGTTTGTAAGAATCAAAGATAGGATTTGAGGCAAGCACTCTTTCTTGAGAGCCTGTATTCTTAATCATGACCCAAGGAAATTATTAGGACCCAGATGACCTGAATGTAAGGAATTCTGAGTTACATTTTATTAGGTAATCTAGATCTGCCTCTCTGGCTCATCAAGTCTCATCAGGAATGTGACAATCGGGATTTTAAAGACATCTAAGAGATGGAAACAAGAAGAAAGTACAAAGGAGAAAATAAGCAGTTTGAGAAGCTGGAAATTCAACTGGGAGTAGAAGATCATGGGAATTAGAGCAGGGAAGGTTCACACAGAGGGGTAAGAGATACTTTAGATAAAGAAAATTTGCATTTCATGGGTTTAAACTGAAGCGCAAAACAAAACAATAAAGGAAAAGTTGTTCCAGAAACATTCTAATCTTAAACAGATGGAAACGAAGACCCCAGACACATGGATTTCCCAGTTGACCATAGCTTAATATTTCTGAGCTATCATTTCCTATAGATGTTGAAACTTCCTCCTTGCTCTGTTCTAGTATATTGTCTAGTGGGTTTCAATGTCCTGAAGGTGGCACACTTCAAGATGATTTTTTCGGAATATTTCATGGGAGAGGTGGCAGAGTAACTTAATCAGTAACAGTCTATTTCAGGTACCAAAATACTCAACAAATGAAATCACTTTGGTTTACTCCCTGCAACTCCTGAAGTGCTTCAACACCTAGAGTTCTGAGCTTGCACAGAGAGTGACTGTCTGACAGGCAACTGAGGTTTTTCAATCTTTTTAAATCTTTCTTCATACAAAAATGGGTAACTGAGTTAATTTCCCTTTCTATATGAGACCAAGCTCAGATACCTGCTACCATGAAAGTGTGCAGAATCTGAGATTCTACTTTTAAGATAAAATAAATAACTTTTCAAAGCATTATTTCTTCTATATAAAGGACTTAAAATATAAAATATTTTATTCCTTATTTCAGCATCTTGGAAAAAATTTCCTTGACTAAATAAAAAGTTTCATTTAATCACTTATTCACACAATATGTAAGCACTGAGCATTTACAATATACATGACATATATATGACTATATATATAATATACTATATATAGTTCCTGATTAATATGTAGTTCATCATTATTCCATATAACCTTCTTTTCTATATCCACTATAAACTCACAGAGAGCAGGTCTTAGTGGGGTTAAATAGATATAAGATGTTTGGCAAATATCTGTCAACTAATTTTTAATGTGACCTAAAGAAAAGAAAATTATTTTCAAGCAAGTAAGTCTTGCTTGAAGCATCTCTTAAGCAATGACATAAAAATAATTTATGATACTATTCACTTGTGGTGATTGTATTTCATCGTAGTAAATTATAGCTCAACACGTACTTTGACTTAATTAAAAATATACAGGTAAGATGGGTAAAGAGGACCCAAAAGAAAGCTTTTAACGATGTTCCTGTTCTCAATGAGTTTAAAGTACAATTTGATGCATACCATAATTTCAAAAACATGAAAACGCAAGACTAAATAATAAATCCAAGAAAGACAGTATCGAATTAAAAATGAGAAAAGATTCCATCCATTTGGGCAGAGATTAGATACAATGGGTAACACCTTGGAACACTTTGGGTATTTTTCTAAACACTTTGAATATTAATGTAAATTATAGTTTAAATACTCAGTTTTATAGATGAAGAATCTGAGGACTATGCCTTGAAGAATGAATATAGGATTTTGGCTGCAGAAGGAAATCACAAGCATATCACACAGGTAGAAAGTGTTTATGATCTGAAAGGAAGACTGGTCCAGGTGATGGTTCTTCAGCTGAGCATGAAGACATACAGCTGGTTAAAGCTCCTGGGGTGGTGGCCTTATATACAATGCATAATTCAGGAGAATTTGGGGACCATAAACACATCATGGAGTGATGTGTTTAAGATTAAATCTGAGTGAAATTAACCTAATAAGTGAATTAGGGTAGATGGAAAGTAGTGGCAGAGGGACCAATGGAGACTTCACTTTCAGTGGCCGGGGCTGGCAATGAGTATGAAGATGATGATGAAGCAGAGGAGAGATGCATTCAACAGAATGTAGAAGGACTCTGATGTGACTTTACAATTGGTAACATGGGATGAAGGATGATGAGGAGATCAAAGATACCCAGTGCTTTCAAATACAGCAAAGTAAGATTAAATTGATTACTAAGAATCAAGAAGAAAACTTTATCAGATGAACCTTCAGGACATTGTTGTGTAAACTCACCCACACATTCTCCATTAGCCTATGTAATGTTGGAAAAAACTGAGGACAACAGACATCTGAAATTTGATTCATGTCCTACTAGTTGGTAACATGTAACAATGTGTGTAAAGCAGTCTTACCTCTTTGCTGTAGTCACTGTCTGAATCACTGCTAAGTTCCTCAGTATTCATATTTTCCAAATCAGATTCTCCAGGTGCAATTGGCACTGTCACTGTGAGGCTGGGATTATGAATAAACGATTGACAATCACTTCCTTCCATCAAGCTTCTGTCCACACTGCTTCCAAACCCGCTGGTTTTATCTTTTCCCTTGAGGAAGGGGTGATCTTTATTCATTTCAGCAAGTGTACGGTTTGAGATATAGTTGTGTTTTTTGCCATTTAGATCTTCTGCTCGTCTTATCTCCCTGGACATTTTTGGCTTTTTGGAAAATGTTTTTAAAATGAGTTCACGCAAGGTCTGTTTCACATAATTTATTCCCTTTTTGATTCTGGCCACAGCAATCTGGAGGTTGTTTGCATCGGTGTCTTCCTCAATTGCCGTGAGATTGTCAGAACTAAATGAACTCAGCAATAAAGCCAGAAATAAGTTCAGAACCTATAAAAGGGTAAGAATGGGAGGCAGAGAAATAAGGAGACAGGAAATAAAAAGTAATCAAACTTTCCTGAAATATAGGCCACAAAACAAATCAGAAAAAAAAAAAAAAAATCTCCGAACCTTCTCACCCACAGACCACAACGTGTGAGAGCAGTGGAGGAGAGGGCAGAATCCTCACTACTCACTCCATACACCAGAGAACTGAGAACTCTGGAGAGCAGTGTAAGCCATACCCATGAAGAATTACAGTGGGGAGCACAAAATGATCCCTCAGCATCAAGGTAGGTCATTTCTAAGTCCATTTCTGCCGCAGGAGTCCCTTTGTCAAATTGCATTTAGTAAACTTTAAAAATTCTCCTAATACTCATTTATAATTTCTACTTATTTCCAATGACAAACAAATAAAACAAGAAAATTGGTTTATTGTTATACTCAGGTCATTCAGACCAAGATCTCTGTTCACTTATCCCAGAATATTAGTGCCATTTATTTCAACAAAAGAAACACATGGTACTTACAGAGTTCCTATAATAAAGCATTTTGCCGAATTTTTGTGCCAACTTGCAAATTGAAGTGACTTTTAAGGGACAGAAGAGGACCCATGCATTGGACCTATTCTTTTGAGATAATGACACTAACTGGCTTAATTTCTTATCATTTTGGCCCTGGAAGAGTTACAAAAGAAGTCACTACAATGTCTATCCTTGAAAAAAAATGTCCTGTTTATGAGCAAGACCATTTCCATTTTTCTTCCCTGAAGTAAGATCCAGGTGAACTCAACAATGTTTTTAAAGAAGAAGAATAATTTCACATAGGGTACAAAATGCATAAATTATATTTAAACATTATATTATATAAGAAACAAAAAGGAAATTGAATTACTATTTGATTAAGTCTTTTCATGACTAAAATTATCCACCTCTCATTTTAAAAAAATCAAAATCACACCTGAGAAGAAAGGACTTGCCCTTGATTTTAGCCACAACTTAAACACTTTGTGAGATGTGTAAGTATGAGAGAGCAGGTTGAAACTGTCAAACAAAGTTCTAGGGGTAGGGATCTATGAATCATAGAAAAAATTTTTGATGATCACTAACAAATTCTAAAATAGTTTATTTTAATTCTAGCTTTTTCATGTGTTACTATGAAATATATGATTGCATATGTTTGTGTTTTAACAGGAATATTGATAATGTAAGTCTGTTAAAGCATTATTGTACTTGACCTACACAAGTGTCAGCACACTTCTTTTTAGTACAGTGTTTTTGTTGTGTCATTTCATTGAAAGCAGATTCTTTTACTTCAAAAATCCTAATAAGACAAATTTTATCATAATCTAATGGATAGCACCAATGTAAATAATAAGTTCCAATTCCTATCTATCATATCTATTACTGTGTTGGGAAAAAATGAAACAGTCATGAAAATATTTGATTCAAAGTCTAATTTTTTTTAACACATTAGTTTATTAATGTAACAGTTTCTGAATACAGATTTGAGCTGACTGAAATCTGTTTTTCTAAATTTCCCTCTGAAGTTTAAAATTAATGGACATTCTTTGTGTGTCTGTTTGTCATTGAGTTGTTATTATTATTCTTTATTATTATGATGCTAGCAAGCAGTGCTCTATCCTAGCCCTTAAACTTATGGTTTTTAACCATTTCAATTAATTAGTAATAAACTGACCCATTTGCAGTGAATGAACAGAACTAGAAACTATGATGCTAAATGAAATAAGCCAGTCAAAAAAAAAAAAAGACAAATGTCAAATGTTTTCTCTATATGTTGAAGCTAATCCAAAATAAGAGGTAGTGGGATAAAAAAACAAATAAAAGAAAGATCAATGGAATAGGAGACTGAAGGGGAGGAAGGAAGTAGATGAGATGAGAAAAGAACAAAGTAGTTAATCTGACCTAGCTTTCCTAGGTACATATATAAATATACCACAGTGAATCTCACTGTCATATATATTCACAAGACACTACTTTTAAAAATGTAAATAAATAGCAGAAAAATCAGTATAGTTCAGGGAAGGGAACAGTGAGAGGGAGAGGGGAGGTAATGGTGACTGAATTAGAACAAATTATATCCTATGCTTTTATAATTTTGTCAAAATTAATCCTAGTGTGTGTAAAACTGAAAAGAAATAATAAAAAGAGAAAAAGAATAAACGAGAGAAAAGATTTAAAAATTAGACTAGTTTAGGATATAGCTCTAATGTGGAGGAGCATATCAGTAATATAACTTTTAAGTTTCTTCTCAGATTCTAATTCTATATAATTGGTAGTTCCTTAATTATTCTAGAGTTGTTTGTAAACTTTATGAATTATAATTCTGTTTGTTTATTTATTATCATGAACCAATAGCTAATGAGTGACCTTATGAATCAGTCATCACTAATTCTGCATGGATTAAGCAATCACTAATTTACCTCATTTGTTTTTACTGTAAATCTGTATTGCCTTTTAAACAGAAACATTATCCTCACTCTAGTGATCACGCTCAAATATTATGTTATGTGTTCTTCAAAGGCCTGCTTCAAAGCTTTCCCTGAGTCTTAACTTAGAACTTCTTTTTCTTTTCTAAATGTCAAAAGCATTATCTTCTAACCTCATTGCTTTCACTTTTCACTTCTTCCTCATCTGATTTTTTTTGTGTACCATTTCACTATATTCTAATAAACTCTAAACATAAATTATACCTAAAATAACTAAATAGAACATTTCTTTTTCACAGAGGAGGCATAGAAATATTGAATAAATAACTTGATGAGAGCCCAAGGAATCCCTACCCTTTGTGTATACTTGAATACATAATAAATGTTTAAATCACTTGTGATAATTAGCTTTAGTCTGGCAAGTTTTCACCACTTATCTCTTTCAGTTATTCACTATTTTATGTTGAAATTGTGTGAGAAGAAATACACAAACAAATCTTGCTATACAAAATTGCAAATTATGCTCAGAAGAGACAAAGAAAATATGTATCTTATTGCATAGTAAAAGATTTGTAAGCCTATATAAAACTAGAAAATTTATTTACCACTATAACTTGAGGATGATCAAGAATTACAGAATGGTAGTTCATGGTGTGTGTGTGTGTGTGTGTGTGTGTGTGTGTGTGTGTGTGTGTCGTAAAGGTCTAAAGTATATATTTCATAATTCACCTTATATTTTTGGCATACTGACCTGATGAACATAGTTTTCTATTCTGAAATGTAACCCCTTCTCCTTTTTTTTCATGAAAATTGCAAAGACAAAAGTAATTCAATGGTTTCTTCAATCCACTGGGAATAAAGGTACCTACCATATAGCTGTTAATGTACCCTATCTCCTGTGATACCTAATGAGTGAATTGATAATAAGAATACCATTGAGACATGCCAATGGTGGATTTGAAAATTGAGGTTAGTGGCTCATGGAAAAGCATCTTATCCCAATTTTCTCCAGCTCATAAGCTTGAAGGTATTTACCAACCAGTATAAGGAAGAAAGAAAACAGATTCAAGCAAGAAAATATTAACTGGAAAGATAGGAAGGTTCCTCTGTAAAGCAGATGCTACAGACCAGTGACTGACAAACATTTTCTGTAAAGGGCCAAATAATAAATATTTGGGGCTCTATATGACATAAGATCTCTATGGTAATCACTCAACTCTGCCATTATAGTATAAAAGCAGCCATTGGTATAATGTGAATGAATGAACATGTCCATGTTTCAATAAAACTTTATTTATAGACACCAAAATTAAATTTTATATAATGTACCTGTGTTATAAAATATTACTCTCCTTTTCTTTTCTTTTTTCTTTCTTTCTTTCTTTTTCTTTTTCTCTCTCTCTCTCTCTCTTTTTTTTTTTTTTTTTGATCACTTAAAGCTATAAAGATCCTTCTGATCTCACAGGATCATATTAAAGCATGGGAATGACTTTGGCCTATAAGCCATAGTTTGCTGATCTTTGCTACAGATGCTAGATTTTTGTTGCTATAAGGTGGTGAAACCAGTCTTCTCATTTGCTTTAGTTCATTATACCTTCATTTTTGTTATTGTTAACATAATTATGCACTATTTACTAGTGTAGCTTTTTATCTGAAAAGTCTTCATATCTTTTAAGAGACATGAAATCACAGATTTGAATCACATGACACCACTATCAAAAAGAAAGAATAAAGTAGGAACTTTGCATACAATGAACAAGGGTTGATTTTGAGAAATATAAAAAATGGAGATTTTTCCAGGAAAACTAAAACAATATTTTGTTTCCTGTTCTCACTTGTATTAAAATCATCTGTATTTATTATAATGAATAATTTTAGATCCAGCTAGCTTTAAAGTCATAAAAATAACAGATTGTATTATTATCAAATAATTTCAATAGAGAATAGTAAATCTGTAAACATCTGTTACATACCACTAGGTTTCCAATCACCATGACCATCATGTAAACAATAAGGCACATGGCTTGACCAGCAACCTCCATACAGTCCCACATGGTCTCTATCCACTCTCCACACAGCACGCGGAACACAATCAGGAAGGAGTGGAAGAAGTCATTCATATGCCAGCGTGGGAGTGTGCAGTCTTCATTGATCTTGCAAACACATTCTTTGTAGCTCTTACCAAAGAGCTGCATGCCAACCACAGCAAAAATGAAGACAATGATGGCCAACACCAAGGTGAGGTTTCCCAGCGCCCCCACGGAATTGCCAATGATCTTTATTAGCATATTCAGTGTGGGCCAGGATTTTGCCAACTTGAAGACACGGAGCTAAAAGCAAATATAAATTTTAACATTATAATTATAAAAATTTCAATGTTTCCATTTTTGACTTTTGTCCTAAATTTAAAGTCGAATTTAGTCCTGTAAGATTGTCATTATTATCTGATTAAAATCGGTTATTCCTTTTTTTCATTTTCATCTCTTTTCAATCTTTCTGTTCTTTTGTTACACTTGGCAGAATATAGCTACAACACACATTACAAAGTGTGCAATTTTAGTTCAGGATTGAAATAGAAGTTTATTCATGTTGTTAGGTATTATTTCTTTTATAATTGATAATTTAACCTTAATTTTATTTTATAATACCTTTATAATTTTCCTCAAGCTGATATTGGGAAAAAGCCTAGCATATTAGGAAAAATATGTTTTCAAAAGTCTCTTTTTGTTTTCATATCAATCAATTATTTGGGGAACAGTGAATTAATCTTTAATTACCAAATCCATAAACATAGGAACACATTATGGATGAAATATTTAAACTTCCCATTGTGAAATAAATTATTTTCCTACTAGGTAAAAAAAAAATGTTTCTATTATAGTAGCATATGCTTCAAATTAAAATTAATCATATCATCAAGATCCTAAAATTAAAACATTCACATGGTTTTAGCTCTTTGACTGTACTTGTTAATGAATGGACTCGGGGGAAAAAGTACAGTTTACTAAATATTTAGAGCAAATTTTGCTTGTGACTCAAGACCTGAAAGCTTTAAATAATAATAATTAAGAGCCAAAAACATTCCTTCATTGCAGAGTATAAGGGTAAGGTTAGTTTATATTTACCAGTCTGAATGATCGCAGAACTGATAATCCTTCCACATCTGATAGAAAAAGTTCTACTAAACTTAAAGTCACAATGAGGCTGTCAAAAATATTCCAGCCTACTTGGAAGTATTCATATGGATCCATGGCAATTAGTTTTAAAACCATTTCAGCTGCAAAAATTCCAGTGAAGACCTAAGTAAGAAATATATTTCTGTCATTTTTAGATGGCATGGAATAACACAATGATGATAATGCCTGTTTGCTTAGCATTGATTGTTCCAGACAATGTGCTACACACTTTACAAATGAATATTATTATCTCATTTAATTCTCTAAATGGAGTGTCACTCTTCTTTTACCTCCCATAAAAGTATCAAAGGGTTAAAAAGATCTATGCTGTCAAATTTTATCAGCATGACATAGCATTTTAGAAGAGCACATTAAAATTCCAGAGAAGTAAAAGCTTTCACATTTAACATAGTCACTCTTTGCAAATAAGTTCATGTGGGGTCACGAGGTGTTTGGAAGAAGATAAAAAAGAATCATGGATTGACACTGACATTTTGAGCCAAGCTTTCTTCTAATCTGACTATTCTTACAGCCAAGAAGAACATGTTGACTCACTCTCGAAAGATTTATCAGTAGGAGAGAAAAACATAATTAACTGACACTGTGGCAGCTAAAGTTAGACATCCTAAATTTTGATAAAAGGGCATTGCAAAACATAATTGATTCCTGACACTGGTATCAAAGGCCTCACTTGAAGTGGTAATGGTGAAAAGCTTGCTTATGAATCATTCAGGTACACTTTGACTAAAAGAATCAGACCAAAGATGGTTCAAAGGGAAACATCTAGGTCAATAAATGCTTGAGACAATTGTAAAACAATGTAGCACAAAGAGATTAGCAGGGATCAAATGAAGTTGGGATTGTGATAACAGAAAGAAGATAGGGTGAATGTCTTTTGAGTTCACAGTGATGTCGCCAACTCAGGGAAAAAGTATGGATTTGCATGATCTAGACCTCCATGAACAAGAAAAAGTAGGAGAGCAGAATACTAATTCATGGAGTTAAAGTTTTTAACTATTAGACAAAGTTCAAATGATTTGATCAGGGTCATATAATTAGTATGTCACACAATCAGGATCAAATCCAGGTCTTTGGAATTCCAAAGTCCCAGATACTTCACCACAATTATGTCAAACTAATGTATCCACAGTAAAAATAAATAAATAAATAAAGAAGAAGAAGAAGAAGGAGGAGGAGGAGGAGGAGGAGGAGGAGGAGGAGGAGAAGAAGAAAAGAAAAAAAAATGGAGTGTGCACTAAAAAGGAAGATGCAATGTAAGTAAAAATAAAGTATCAAAATGTCAGTGTTGACAGACATTCTGGCAGGCAAAGACCACTATTAACTTCCCAAATGATGACAAGCATGTAAATAATATTGTTATTTATAGAACTCAAGACTATTGCAAAATTATTTGAAAATAATAACTATAACCAGAAACTTGACCCTGCACATTTATTCATAAGGGTAAATTCTAGGTATGTATAATTATCCAGCTACAGACCCGCTGACTTAAAGAAAAAGAAAAGAAATGGCAACGCTGAAAACCCACGAGAATAGCTATGGATATAGAAAACACTATAAGAGACTCACCAAATTTCCTACAATGAGCACATGTTTGAATTCTTCAGTCATTGGGTGGTGCTCCATAGCCATAAATAATGTGTTTAAAACTATGCAAATGGTAATTGTAAGATCTACAAAAGGATCCATTACAATGAAATAGATAAACTTTTTGAATTTTATCCAATAGGGAGAGCAATTCCAGATCAAAAATGTGTGTGCAAATCTGTACCACCAAGGTGGACATTTCTGTCTGGACTCTTCAAGTTCTGGGAGAAAGAAACAATAGAGAACATGCAGTCAGTCATTTGTCTATTTATCGGTAACCAGATAAACATCAGTAATACACAGTAATATTCAAACAAGGCTTGTGGCTTAGACTTTGCATAACAGTGCTGTGTTACATGTATATTCCACCAATATACATATGTATTCTTATGTCTTTAATCTCATGGCAATAGTAAGAAAATTCTATATTCTTCAGAAAACCTTTTGCTAGTATATAAATGAAAACAATCCCCAAACAAGAGAATGGAAATAAGTGAAGGAGGGACCCACAAAACAGACATTTTACCCCATTAACTCCTTCACTTTTCTCCATAAATTTACAGGATAGTTAAAAACTTAGGGGCCATGTTGGGAGTGTGGGGGGTGAAGTGTTAGCCAATGGAAAGGTGGAATCTGGGGCATAATGTGGTGGGAGAGGGTGGGAGCCGGCACATTTTTAATGTTGTTACCCTTTGACTCTCTTTGCTTATCATATGAGATAAATTCAGAGAATAAAAGTAGTTTATAAGATTATATAGTAAAAAAATCACACAGTTCTGGGATAATTTGGCTTTCGGCATCAATTGTCATTAAGTTATTTATCTTTGAAAAGTTATTTCACCCAATGTTCATTCTTAATCACAAATAATGTAATCCATTTTTTAAGAACATAAGAATAACTCTATCGGTTTCCCTTGATTATCTTTGTGATTGTTCAAAGCCATTTTATATCCTTTGAGTTCTTCCTAAGAATATCTTGTACCTATTTAGAGGTGACCAGGATTTACATTAATTTTATTTGAGAATTTGTACTGTAAAGAGCCTATTATCACATACCTTCTACAGTGTTGGTCAATATGCTTGCTCTGCTCATTGCTCTTTGTCTTAGATGGGGATCATTTAGCATATCCTCTGAAAGGAAATAAGAACTGGAACGTCTTTTTTTGTGTATTTGAATAGTTGTTCCCTAAAAAAAAAAAATGCTTAATTAGAGTCTTAAGAATAGAATTCTAATAAAGAATAGGTATAAAATTAAATCTTGCTTAGGTAGCTATAGTAAATAAAAGTAAAGACTAGATTGCTGGCTGAAATTATGGCTCTGCAGCTTTCTGGCTTTCAATCACAAGGGTCATTTACTTAACTCTCCATTTAATCATGGGCAAATGAGGATCCTACCAGTACTTGCCCCATGTTCCTGTTAATGAGGGTTGAAGGAATTATAACTCAAGTATATAAGTAAAACAAAACTTGATTTTACTGTAGGATGATGTCCATATCTCTATCCTCTTGAGTATGCAATTTATTTAGATTTTTTTTTTTTTTTTTTTTTACCAACGGAGAATCCTACAGGAAAGCAGCGAGACAAAGTTGGTGGTGGCATGCCTATGATGGGGTAGAACCTCAATATTCTCTGATAACTTTCTCTGACTGTTCTTTTGAGCATTAACAAATGTGACTGTAATGACTGTCTCTTACCAACAAGATGGGCACCTCACGAACTGAGCCCAGCATATAATGTTGAATGACTCAACTTGAAAAGGACCCTGAAGACTTATGAAAACTATAATAAAAGGGAGAATATAAGCTCCATCTGAAGCAGGTGACCAGTTCATCTCTAAAACACATTGCCATGCAGAAATATGAGCTCAGACACACAGGGTTTGTTCACTTTTAAGTGAAAATGTCTGATGTTTTAAGTATGGCAACTAAATCAAACTGAAAAAATCTACAATAGTTTGGTATAGGCCAATAATACACACACTCACACATACATGCTAACACACACACATATACACAAACAACCATACAACTCTATATTCATCATCTGTTTTATATGATATGTGAAATATATTTCACAAACATATATATATGTATATATATGTTTATATAGTTCATATAACATATAGTCCTTGAGTCATAAAGTTATATGGTTGTATAGCCATAATCCTGTGTATACATGCATCAAAACAGACATACAGGAATAAATATGTATATGTGTGTATGTATACACAAAGGCAGATACATAATAGCTGGAGGTGACTTAATACAGCTCTCTCTATAACCACATTTTCTGTGCTATAATCTCTAAATTACTGACATTCCAGAAGCAGAAAAAAATTTCACCCAACTCAAACAGGATTTTGTTGGATTAAACAAATTCTTTTTCATGTAGAAATGTCTGAAGTATAGAGATTATATTATTTGCAAAACAGTACTTTCATCTAAACTGTTACGTTAGGCCACATATTTATACTGATTTCATTTATGATTCATCTAGTTTTGCAGTTTTAGCTTTAAGATTCATTGAGGTATCATTTTTTCCCCCTGTGGTAAAAATAAGCTCTTAAATGAAAACACTTCATTTAAAAATGTGAAATAATCTTCAAATCTCATATAAATTACATTTTATAGATTATATACATAATTGAAAAATAAAATATAACAAAAATATAATAAAATATAACATAGAAATTTAACATGCTCAGCTGATAAGAACACCTTGATAGAAAGGATGAAGCTGTATCAAGCAAGCAGAGAGGTAGCACAAGACCCAAGAGCACATGCATTCAGTCAAACTGAAACGTATGTGTGGCCATGGCTTTGATGGAACTTTACTCTCATGTGAAATACTGCATGGTCTGCAAATGAGAATGTATCATATGTTTGAAGCTTGCTACACTAGTAAAAGCCATTGCTGACATTTGTGATGCAGTACAACATAGTGAATGAGCTAAAGAAGTTTCCTGAACTTCCAGGAACCAGAAGGATCTCACCTTCAAGCCTAATTAGATACTTTCATCTAACCACTCAGTGACTCTGAAACTCTTGAATTATTATTAATTTTTTTTACTAGTTGTAATATACTAGTTTTGTGTTTGTTTGAATCAATATGTTTTGGGTATTTTGTCAATATTCCAGACACATATTTTTAAAAGTGAAAATAGTATGGTTAAATTTATGTAGAGGAATGAAGCATAGACATTCTGAATTATTTGCAAGACAAGAAGCCCACTGTCCTAGAGAGTCAGTGGAGCTTGGTGGTGAAGAGCACAGACAGCCTGTTTAGACTTCAGAACTCTCGTTGGCTGGATGAGGGCAGGGAAACTGCTTGACTTCCCTGTGCCTCAATTTTCCCATGTAAAAACAGTAATAGTAATATATCATGACATAGAGTTGTTGTCAATCCTAAATATGCATTTGCTGCTATTTTTATTCTTAACAGCTCAAATAAGAACCCGTGCTATAAGGTACATATTAAGTAGTAACCTAAAAAAGAGGGTAAAAAGTGGCAAATAATTCAAATTTCTTTACAGAAATGGGACTGATTATCAACTAATAATATCAGCATTCTCAACATATTTTCTGTGCTGCTACATATAACTTTTATCAATTGTTATTTAAAGGGATGATTTATAATCTTCAATTATAACATCAAGAGATAAGTACCATTTGTCAAAAATGGGATGTAAATTATGTTTTGAATTAAATTCCTACAACATATAATATGAGGATTAAATTAATTAAATTAAAGGTGTGTTTCTATGGAGAAAGTGTTGCAAAAATGCAGAGCCATTCACAGGCCAGAAAGAAGGCCCCTCCAGCAGAGACACTGATTGATGCAGGAATAAGGCTCAGCCATGCCTGAGCTATGGAAAAAGTCCTTACGCTGTCGTCAGAAGTTGCCTTATCTATTATCACCTCTGGCAGAAGCTGTCCATTGGGGAGCATGAGGGCTGAGGGTCCATCAACCAGGGAAACCACACCATTGCAGTCCACGGCACTGTGCTTCATCCCGTTCACCGGCAGCCGTGGGGGGGACCTACTGGCTTGGCTGATGTTACTGCTGCGTCGCTCCTGAGGCCTGTGGGGCACGAACAGGGAGCCCCGTCTGCTCTCATTGTCTCCAAAAATGCTGTGCTCATCATCAGCAAATTCAGTCTCAGATCCTATATCTTTTCCTCGGCCCTTGAAACTGAAAAGACTTGTTCTGCTGCTGCGCCTTCCAGAAAACAAGGAGCCACGGATGCTGAGTGGTGACTACAGAAACAAAATAAAAGATGACATGTATCTCAGAGTGCCTACAGAGAGCAGTGTTCTTCATGAATCTGCCACTGAACCCACTGGCCCAGAGAGCAAGTGACTTGGTGCTGGTTTAAAGGAAATATGTTTAAAAGCAAAGCAATTCAACCAGAAGACAAATTCTCCCCAGAAAAGGATGAAGGAATTTGAATAGTTCATTCTTTAGGAGCAGATAAATTGTATAACACTCTACTATTATGTCTTACAGTACCCTTTCCAGTCTTTACGCACCATTCATTTTGCTATACAGACATGTCACTTAAAACATGTTGTATTGATACCTGTCATTTCATTTTTCATGTATCCACCCCTAAGTGCTTAATGTCAAAGTCCCGTGCTGTGTGCTTCTCTGCATTATGTTGCTGCAACTCAACCTTATGCACTGACAGCCCAGGTAAGGTGTGTTGAAAAGGTACTTTTATCAGCAGTGAATTTACAAATTCATGAAATGTTAGAAGTCAAAAAAAAAAAAAAAAAAAGGCATTCATGACCAAAGTGGCAGTGGGCAAACTGATATGAATCACGTCCAAGATAAACTATTTCCACAACCCAAAACTGAATGGAAATTCTTTGGACGTATCAGGTTCAATAAGCATTAATGCTTGCTATATAAAGGGCAAAGGGGCAGGCACTGTTAACAACGAGTATGACAAGGTCTTTGCCTTGAAACTAATAGTCCAAATGACACTTATCATATTTCTTTTTATTGACATTATATGAGTTCAAGTTCCATCTCACCACTTAGATTATGAAATCCTTGAAGGTAAGGAATCATTTTTATTTATATCTGACAGAGTATTACAGACTTCAATGGTAGATGCTGGAAATTTTAAGTAAAGGGAAAGATAAAGAAGATAGTAATTCTGGCTGAGGCACTGAGGAGCAGACTGGGAGAAGTGGAGAGGAGAGGAACATGTGTATGACAAGGGGCACCTGAGCAAGGGGTAAAGAACCAGTGGTGCTATGATAGGAGGAACAAAGCAGAAAATGACTTCAGTTAGAGAAAGCCATGTGTGCTAAGTACTAAAGACCTAAAAGTACTGAGACTACAGGAAAGAGTGAGCCCCAGACTGGTGGATTGAGGGTGTGGGGAAAGGAAGGCTGGAGGACAAAGCCGATCCCAGCTCAGGCATGGTTGAGGCGTGGATCTTGTTCTATGCTCAGTGGTTATTCAACAGGAGATGATTGATTTTTCTCTCCTTCCTTCCTTCCACCCTCCCTCCCTCCCTTCCTTTTCTTTCCAAGCTTGGCAAAGGGACAACTAGATTTTCATTTTACCAAAAGTGATTTGGGGATAGCGGGAAAGGTCAAGAATAATAGAAGGAATAGAAGCAATGATTCATCTTGGAGGTTTATGCAGAATTGAAGGCAAGAGGGCCTGAGATATGATGGTTTCTGTAGAAAAATGAAAGAGGGAAAGAAAAATTTACCCAAGCAGAGTTAACAGACTGTGAAGTAATAGATGATGAAGCTGTGGGGAGAGGATGTCAAAGGTGTCTACAGTTACAAACTGAGAGCTTGATAATCTGGTAATATCATAACCAGATGATTAAAGTGGTGAAAAAAGAGAAGCTAGTTAGTGATCAGTTTTAAAATCAACAAGTTATTTAAAAAATAGACTAAATAGAACTATGAAAGTTAACCTATAATGTAAATAGTTTCTTCCTTTTTACCGTGATTCTCAGAAATATTTTGTTTAATAAAATTTGATTATTGCTGGGTATGGTGGTGTACTGTTGTAATCCTGGAGAGCTGGGAGGCTGAGGCAGGATGATCACAAGTTCAAAGCAACACTGGGCAACTTGGTGAAACTCTGTCTCAAAATAAAAAGGGTTGGGGGTGTAGCTAAGTGGTAGAGGATCCCTGGGTTCAATCCCCAGCATGACAAAAAAAAATGAGATAGAGAAAAAGGAAAGAATATTAGATCACTAAAGAAGTTAAGACAATCAAAAATGAACAAGTTAGAAAGCTGAATGTCTGATTTCTTTCATAAATGTCCAGTGATAGATAGGACTTTACTTAAACATCCCAAATAAACCACTCAAATTCCTCTCCTCATGGCCCTTACTCCAGCACATAGCACTGTACTCCACCTCCCCATCCAGCTCTGATGACACAATCAAGCAGTTTGGGCACTACCTGATTAGGGGTGGACAATCTCTTCTCATGTGTCCGTCTATGACCTTCCACACCAAGGTGGACACTTTTCCTTCTGATGCTCTCCTCTGATCCTGATTTGGACAGCTTCTCATCATCTCCTTTTTCCTCCCCACTGGAGAGCTTCTTCTGATTCTTTTTCCTTCTTCTGTTTCTTCTTTCTTTAGCACTTTTCGAGCTCAGTCTGGATGTTTCAGACGAACTCTCTGAGAGGCCCATAATTCTGCTTCGCCCGATACTTGTATATTCAGCTGCTGCCACTGCTATTGCCTGTTGGGCCCAGACATTACACGTGTGTCAACCACTTTCAAATTCTGCAGAAACAAAATTGCTTAGATGGGCACCTATACCCATCTATTTAATTGCAGTGTGCATGTGACCGTGTTCCTGTATACTATGACCAGAAAGCTCACAAGGCATATACCTGCTTCTTCCACATTGTGGTAAAATTCCACAGTGCTTTGGAATTTAACTATGACATGCTATGAATTTGCTTACAGTATGCAAATTTAAACATTGCATGTCAAAATTTTACTATGCAATTAGGGTACCTAAATCTCACATAAACCATGTAATGAGGTAATGTGTTTATGTATCAGGTAGTTAACTACTCAACATTATCAGTAGAATCAGGCACTCTATAGTTTAGTGAGATTAAGTTATCTAAAAGCTGAAATGAATTATTAAAAATTAATAGTAGCTCAAGAGAATGGTAAGGTTGATGATTATTTTCTTTTAAGAGACTCCTAGAGGTTCCCTAGGAAGTACCTGGGATAACCCAGTTTCTGAATCAGCTCTTTATAAAGTTGGTTGTTAATAAAAAATTTAAAAAATTTTGTTTTTAAAAAATTGGGGAAAAGAGGTAAGTGAAAAACAGAAAAGTTCTCATAATCATGCCTCTCAAAAATAGGTGGTCTTAACATTTCATTCAGCCTTTTATATATGTATATAGTTTTAAAATCATGATTGTAACCTATTATTTAATTCACTGTTATTTTATAGCTTTTTTCCCTCATGATATAATTTTTTTAAATGTTTAATTTTGGGCTGAATAATACTCTTAAGGTACAAAAATATCATAATTCTCTTAACTGTGTTTTTAATTTTTAAATATTTATGATTTTGATATTATTAAAATACTATGCTGTATACATTTGTATATCAAAGTTTCTCTGTATCACATATTGTTACCCTGTCCTAATAATCTTAGAATCCTTGAAGAGCTTTAAATAGATCAAATCATCAAACAAGTTTCAATAATCTTACTCTACATTAGAAATTATATTTCTTTTAGTACATCCTTCCCAGGTTTCTCTACTGAAGTACACCTTTGGAGAGAGCACTACAGAGGAATCCTCCAGAATCTGTGACTTTACCCTAAGTGACTAAAACCATTAGGACTTGTTAAATTTCAGTTTTTACCTTAAAAATCCCTGCAACATTACCAAAAAAAACATTTTGGTGCACATTTTGATTTCTACCCCACAGATTATTAACATTAAAAGAATTTTTCTTAAACCTTTGCATATGATTGTTATTCTGGGGAAATGCATCCTTTAAAAATTTTGGGACTTTGCATTGCTGATAACAGTCTTAGAGGCAATCCTTAGAACAGGGAGTGAAATATGGAGAAGATGTCAATTTTAGCTCAGTCCAGAACTGATTCTTGCAACCACACTAGAAATAAGGATTTTATTTTCATATAGAAATTAATTAGGGGCTGGGGGTGTGCCTCAAGCGGTAGCGCACTCGCCTCTCATGCGTGCGGCCTGATTTGATCCTCAGCACCACATACAAACAAAGATGTTGTGTCCGCCGAAAACTAAAAAATAAATATTAAAAATTCTCTCTCTCTCTTAAAAAAATTAATTAAGAAAAATTTACCTGGAAAGGCTGAACTTAGACCAAGGACCTCTGTTGTTACCATTTGCATTTCTACTTTTAGGAAGAACCTTACACCAAATAACAATACCTCAGCTTCTTCTTGCTCTTTTTTGAGGTGATCCAACATCTGTTGAAATTCTAGCTCTTTTTGTTTTGCTTCTTCGATGTTTGCTTGGTTCTGTTCTTCATAGGCCATGGCAACTACAGCCAGGATCAAGTTTATTAGATAAAAGGAGCCCAGGAAAATCACCACAACAAAGAAGATCATGTAGGTTTTGCCAGCAGCACGCAGTGTCTAGGGAAAAATAGAAATTAATGTATTAGTAAGACAAAGTGTTTTTTTCAGTAAATTATTTTAACATGAATGGTATATTAGACATGGTAAATTGGGTGATTTTGCATAAATCATGTTATAAAAATATAAAAGATTAAAATTATATCTTCATGGAAAACAATCTGGATTAAAACAAATATTTTCAGTACAATGAATATAGAAATCTAATAGATCTAAAGATGAGTCTTAATTAAGTATAATTATATAATTATCTCATATTTCTCATGTCTGAAAATTATTTAAAAAATCAGCTCCTATGCTTACTTTTAAATTTTGAGAGTAGATAAAATTTAATGTAGCTTTTATTGTTAAAATCCTATCTTTTCTTTCTTTAACATGTATTATTAATGGTAGTGTTTAATGTCAATACATGACAGGTCACTTTATTGAATAAATCTATCATAGGTATTTATTTTAATACCTAACATTCTTGTTAATAATTTTAAAATGCACTATACTTTTATCATATTTTACACTTTTTAATTAATTCAAAATGGAGAAACAGATATTAAATGAAAAAATGTCTCCCTCTCAAATTTCTGATGCCAAGTTAACTCAATTCCTTTTTCTAACAGTTTACTTTTATCAATTTATTCTCTCAAGTAAATTCCTAGTTGTAGATTTGTTAGGTCAAGTAGTATATTTATTTTACTCTTCATAGAAATTCCCATGTGAGCTTCTCAGTGGTCACCAGTGATATGAGAAAAAACCTATTTTACCTTACATACTAGAATTTGTCTCTCTTTTGATCTCCTTTAATATTTTTTAAAAAATTTTGTCATTCTGAGAGGCAAAAAATTACAAGTCACTATTGTGTTTCTTTGATTTTGAGTAAGGTGACCTCTTTTTGCATAGTTAAAAATATCAGAGCCAGGTATAGTGATGCACTCCTAGTCCCAATGACTCCAAAAGCTGAAGCAAAAGGAATGTTAGAGCCTAGAATTTCAAGGACAGTCTGGCAATATAGCAAGACCCCCATCTCAAAAAAAGAAAAAGAAAAAAGAAAAATCATTTGTAGTACTTTTTATTTCTTATGAAGTGTATTTTCATCATTTCTATATTTATTCATAATATTCTCAGAAATTAAATAAATATAAAACTGTCCAAAAAAATCTGTGGAAGTTCTGAGAAAAGAGATTTGTTGTTATTTATTTTACAGAATGATCATTTCAGTCTCCTTCCTTTGTGTTTGGCTGCTGATAATATATAAATAAGTGGCTAGAATCCACAACTCCAAGAGGTTCACCCTGAAGTAAGAGGAGATAAACATGTAAATGAACAATTTTAGTAGCAGAGACTGATGATTTCAAGTGAAGGCTATAAAAGAAGCCATTGGAGTCTAGAGGAGAGAGAAATGGACTTGGGAGAGGAAAATTTAGAGAAGGGAATTGGATCTCTAATTATAAATAGGAGTTCAAAAACTAAAACATGGTGGACACATGAGCAGAGGAGATTTCATGTGTTCAAGAACATCCCAAGCATGAGAGGAAAGAAGTGCGTACAAGGAGTGGATTGAGAGAAGAATATAGAATGTTTTCTGCTGTTTTTCTGGGATTACATGGAAAAGATACCAAATATGCTTAGAAAAGATGAGAAAAATATAATTCAAGAGAAATCTGCTCTAATAGTGTTGAAAGTAATTTTTTTTTAAATTTTAGTAATAAACAGTAGAGTTTTTCTATTCTCAACTGAATTAAAGAAAAACTTGTATTATAAGACTGGTATACAATATACACTAGATTTTTATGTCATTCAAAAATGCTCGTGTTTCTGGGCACCCACCTGTTGGTAAAGGTTTTCCCAGTAATCCTGGGTCATTAGCCGAAATAAGGCTAAGAAGGCCCAGCTGAAAGTGTCAAAGCTTGTGTAGCCATAATCAGGGTTTCTGCCAGCCTTCACACAGGAGTATCCCTCTGGACACTGACTATACGTGAAAAAGAATTTGACAGGTTAGAGTGTGTTCAGCATGCAAACCACAGCACACTTTACAAAAGTCACCTACCCAAGGTTTCTTTTATGGGGACAATATTGTGTGATGACTAAGAACATGTGATTTGGAATCTGGAATAACGTGAGTAAAAACCCCACCCTATCATTTACTAGTTGATGACTTTGCCAAAGCACCTAAATTCTCCAAGACAGAGTTCCCTCTTTCTGTGAAAACAGAATAATAGCACAGAACACAGAAAGGATAACACTGGTTTTAAATTTAACGAAGATACAGTGTGCAGAATACTTAGCCTACTTCCTGTACATAGAAAGCATTTAATTAATGGTGGCTGCCATTAGCAGCAGTAGCATCATTGGTGGCAAAATTTGGAAACCTTCACCAGATGTTATATAATAGTGCCTGGGTCAATAAAGATTGATGAAGGCCTTTGCCAAAACTGCTTCCCCTCAAATTATTCTTAGAATAAATTAGAATCAATAATAGTTGAAATATATCAATTAAGTTCATAAAAAATTTGTAGCTTTAAGACTTTCTCCTTCTAAAATTGGTGGTTTGGCTTCCATGATGCCATAGTATACATATGTGTTCTGAGGTCTGGGGGGAGCAGCAACATCTTCTTTATTTATATGTTCTCAGTGTGCACAGTGACAGATGAAGAGCTATCTAGACAAAAGTAAGAGCAGCAACAAATGTCCTGCTTCAAAATGAAGTTGGCATATGCATATAAATAAGAAGTTCTTAAATTTTTTTTTACCCAAGCCCATGGGATTCTTTTCTATAGAAAGACAAAAACACTATACTTCATTACCCACAAGCTAAGTTTAACTAGAGAATGAATAGAACCTTGGGGCTGTTAAGAAACATTGATTTTGTCACTCTTCTTTGAAGAAAGGCTTGAAACTATTCAACCCACGTTCCATGCGGTTATTGGGGAGTGATTCTTTTCTATTTACATAAAAATATAAAAATTGTATTTTGTTTTATTCAAGCATAGCTTTTAAGATTGCTTTCAGGAATATGCATTAATTATAAACATTGAAAGCAATATAAGAATCAAAGTTTCTGGTCAGTAAATTGAACATGTTTTTTCTTCTTTTGCAGCATTTAGACTAGAAACAAAACAAATATTACATACCCTGAATCTGTGCTGAAACCACAAAGGAGAGCATCTTTGGATCCCTCCAAGTAATAAAAATATTCTGTTTAGGAAGAATTTGAATAGAATGTTATAGAGTGTAAGCTTTAATCGTGATATAACAGGTAAATTAATAAATATAGACACACATACACATATCCAGTCTCAATCCCGAGCAATGAGTAACAATTTACTGATTATATTTTCATATATGCTCCCTCAAATATTTACTGTTAACTTCATATATGCCCGTCAGTGGATATGACAAAAAAGAATGCCAAATAACACTTAACAGATAAATAAATAAATATACATGGTACTTTCAGATAGTGATACAAGCTCTAAACAAAATAAATTAAGACCATGTGATGAGCTATGGTAAGGAAAGAGCTTTCTAAGGAGATGGCATTTGAACAGAGACCTAAATGTGACAAAGAAGCTGACAACGCAGAAAAGAGGCACAAAGGGTATAATGAAAGGTATGAAGTGGAAAATTTGCATTTATTTCTCCAAATCTTTCTCTCTACCCAAATGGGTAGGGAGAAGGCATGAGAAAAGGCTCTGAGGCCAAGATGAAATCAGTGTGTAAAAGAACCAGTAAGGGGGACCACTCAGGGACCAGATTGTGTAGCACTCTGCTTATCACAAAAAGGAGTAGGAGTTCAGATATTAAGTAAGATTGGAAGTGAAAGAAGTGGGAAGGAGTGGTAGGAGAGTTCATTAACATTTTTCAAGTCTCTGTAGTTTCTTATAGGCAGTGAATTATAGACAAACAAGTAAAGAAACAGAGACCAACTAAGTGACCATGCTATGCCTACAACTGTGGATATACAGAGGAGGGATGGAAATATGGTGGACAGAACTGCTGATGGAGGGTGTGTGGGGTGCATGCAAGAGAGAGGACTTGGTGACATGGTGGTGCAGTTACTGAGATGAGGATCACTGGAGAAAAAGCTCTTTTTTAGCCATGCCTAGTTTGAGATGATCATTAAGAATTAAACTCTGTTTTTCAGGTAGGGAGTTTGATGAGAAGCTGGAGGCCACTAGAACTGTCCAAAGTGCATCATCATCATCAAGGAGATGGTCTTCAAAGTCAGGGTATTTAAGAGTTTATCCAGAGAGTAGGTGTAGAGGGGGAAGGGGAAGGAAGGGAAAGGAGGACCGGGTAGGGGAGGGAGAGGAAAAGGAAGGAGAGAAGGGAGCTCTTAATTGAGTCCCAAAATACTGTAGAAGAGGCAAAGGATCAGCAAAGCAGTACTATAAATGAGCAAAATTTGTTTTTCTGAAATTATCTTATAGTTCATTCCCCAACCAATGTTTATTTGAGAACCACTCATTTCTAGGCATTGAAGCTCTAACAGTGAAATAAATGCAAATTTTCCACTTCATAACTTTCATGATACACTTTATGCCTATTTTTTGGTAGTAAAGGGTTGCCTATTGGCTTCAAAGCTTTGCCATCACTCCAAAATATTTATTCTTTTAAATAAGGGTCAAACTTCCTATTTAATTCAAGTTGAAGAAAAAAAATGCTATTATGAGGGAACTTAGAGTAATACTGAAATTAAGACTTTGAAGTCAGATATTCTTGGATTTGAGTATTGCTTCTATCCTTCCTATGAAAGTGAATTATCTTTAAACCTTCAAGCCTTAGGTGCTGTAAAATGTGGTTGATGATACCTACTTTATAGAGTTGTTGAATAGTTTAAGAAGGATACAATATGTAAAGCAATATCAGAAAGCCACACATTCTATACTAGTCTTTCAAGGACAGGAACATTTATTACTAAACTGTTAATCCAGTTTCAGATAAGACTAATTGACTTACTCCTTATCACTGTTTTACTTATGCAAATTAAAGAGTAAAGCCTTTTAGTCTGAGATGGAAATTTAAGCCAGAATATGCATAAACAGCTTTTTTTTGGGGGGGTGGGGGGTGGAGTTCTGTGCCTCAGGGTAGATGGGCCTAGAAGCATGAGGATAGGAGAATCTAAGATGCAGACTTGTCTTACATAAACTTCCAAGGCTTTTTACTGAGGAAGGAATACTTGGCATAATCTTTTAAGCTAATAGCTACTGTTTACCAATTGTGGAGAAGCTGCAATACAGGAATGGGCTTTAGAGCTACCTGTACTAGCAGGCTGCTAGGCTGCCATATTTGACTCAGTATAAGAATGATGAAAGGAGAAGCAATGCAGGTAGCTCACTCAGGTCTTGTAGAACACTTCACTATGACTTCTAAACAAGTAGACATGAAATTGTTAGAATAATTGGCCTCTGGAGAATTTAATTTTAGTATCTAAAGAAATGGGGAAAATGGAATGCAAAAAAAATCAAACTCTGTACACAAAAAGTAAGGATGATTTTGAAAGATAAAGATTGAATCATGACTCAATTAATTTCACTACTAGTCTACACTGAGAATTGAAAACATATGTCCACATAATAACTGGTACATGAATGTACATTATAGCCTCAAAAGGGAAAAATGTCTCTCAACTGGTAAATATAAACAAAATATAGTATATGCTCAAAATGAAATGTTAAAATGTAATAATAAAAAGAAATGAATTGTGAGACTGGGATATAGCTCAGTTGGTAGAGAGCTTGCCTCATATGCACAAGGTCCTGGGTTCAATTCCCAGCACCACAGAAAACAAACAAACAAACCAAGAAATGAATTGTGGACTTGTGCTACAACATGGGTGAACTTTGAAACATGCTTGGTGAAAGAAAGGATAGCAAAAGCCAAATATTGTTTGATTTCATCTGTGTTTAATGTACAGAGTAAGTAAATCCATGGAGACAGAACCCAGCTTAGTATTTTCCAGGGCCTAGAGGCAAAAGGGAATGGTGAGTGACTATGAATGGGTACTGGGTTTCTTTTGGGTAGATAAAAATATTTCACATTAGTGGTGAGGTTTGCACAATTCCATGAATGTGGTTGAAAAAGGAACTGTACATTTTAGAAAGGGGAATTTTATGGTACATGAATTATTTTCTCAAATCTATTTTAAGAAGACAATGTAATATAATAGCAAAGGTTGTAGAAACACATATGAGAAATAAGAGAGAATTACAAAACTTACTGTAACAAAAATCTAAAATTGTTATTTACTATAGTGCAGATTTTATGGGAATATCCTATTAATTGCAGGATCAGTAGAGAAAAATGGCAAAACATATTCTATGGTTAGGTCTATCTGCCTTGCTTAGAAAAGCAGCTTGGAACAAATGTGTGCTTGGGCTTTGGGAGGTGGAGGGTATGTTTTCCTATCAAGAAGCAATAAGACAACTCCAAGAAAACTAGTGCAGAGGATCAGGCTGGGGTTGAAAGCCCCCAAATGATACTCTGCATTCTGTGAGATAAAGTCCCACGGAGAGAAGAGGTATGGATGGAGACAAGGGAAAAAAAAAAAAAAAAACAGTAATAGTGAAGATCAGCATTGCGGTTTCTGCAAAAATTTTCTCTATTAAATGTCAAACACTGAGAAAATAGGAGCAACACAAATCCCATTTTAGCCCCATAGAACCACATTACATTAATGTATGACACTGAAAATTTAGCTACAAACTGCAATTGAATCTTGCTTTCATCTATAGCAGCAAGAAGGGTGTTTGATAAGCATTGAAGTAGATGGTCAGTAACATCAAGGGAAATCTATATATTGTACATTTTTAAACAAAAGTTTAGACAATGAGTTTATTTATTTGAAAATGGATTTTTAAAAACACCTCTGAAAAGGTTTTGCTATAGGAACAAGAAAACAATATCGATTATATTCAGGCTTCCTATGTAGGTTGCCTTTACCATTATAATTCTTTGATTTCTTCAGTAATGCCAATTCACTTACCTCAGCACTTTGCATGATCTAGCAACTGACTCTTGAGTTCAGTTCTTTCCTTGTCCAGATTAAACCCATGGGCGCTCATTATTATCATTCCCTTAATAACCTCACCTTCTATGCATCTTTGTGTTTATCATGATAACCTGGCAGAACCACAACCTACATATAATCTGGCACCTATCTTTTTCATGTTTGCTCCCAAATGACTGAATATTGGTGGAGAAATTCTTCCAACCAAGTGAATTGATATATTTTGAATAGATGTTTTTTAATATCAAATTGGCAATCAAAATAATTTCAATTTTCCATTCCTTAATATGATCATACAGTTCATTTCCTCAAACCCTTTGTAGATTTCTCCTCTTCCTTTTGCACTCTTAGCCAATTATTCCATTTTATATTTCCCTAGGGAAATAAAAGCCCTTGAGTTTGAACTTAATCACCTTTCAATAACTCTGCAGCCTACCCCACCATCTGTCTTTCTGCTTCAGCAGAGATATTTTTCCTCAGCTCTGTTATTTTCTCAAGGCCTTGATTTTGCCTATATTCCTGAATTAATCCATATATTAATACTCTTCCATTTATACTTCTAGAGAATTTCCTGTCAAAACCCATATTTTTTTTAAAAAAATGCTTTTTAAAAAAATTTTTTTAAAAAAAATTTATTTTTTAAAAAATTAAAAAAAACACCATATTTTTTTTAAAAAATGCCATTGCCCCATTATTTAAATGCCCTTTACAATCAAATTTCTTGAAGTGTTGTCTATACATACTATCCTTTCTTATTTTCGACCTCTCATTCACCTCTGTCACTGTCTCAGTCTGACCTTGGGCCTCTGCCACTCCCCCAATTTTCTCATGCAATGCTCTGTTCACTTCCAGAGCAGAGTTAAGGTCACTAAGATTTAATAATTCTAATATATAAGTAGAATTACTAGAAATAGGAAGAAAACAACTCTATATGCAGGTACATGAGGAAGGTAAATTTTACTTTGGGTAGGGAAAAGCTATAAGATTGTGAGGCTGCTTTGTTTTGTTAAGGAAGTAAGAGTGTAATCTTTGTCCTGAAGTCAAGTGGCTGGTTATTTCAAAACAACAAAGGAGAAAAGTATAGAACAAATAACTGAAGGACTGTACCAAGGTCAGATGTGCTAGGGAAGATGAACTTTTGTGAAAGAAATTTTATATGTGATCTAGTTGGATAAGATTAAGAGAA